ATAAAATCCGTCGTGATTTTCTGTGCGACGCGGGCTTGTCTGGGAAAAAACAAAGAAACAGACTAGCAAGCAACCAAAAAAATCTGAGCGGTTGCTCCTTGCCCGGCCCTGCCCAGGAGTGCAGCCTTTGCTCCTTCCGGGGAGACCTGGAGCAGCACTTGCCCAGCGAGGACCACTTCAAGATGGTCTGGTCGCTGGCAGGCGACGACCTCATCGATCGCGAGGAGTTGTTCTCTCCTCCTCTCCCCCTCCCCCTCCTCCATTCCTTCTCCTTATAAATAATTTCTCCCTGTCGCACCTCGATAGAGCGGGCCGGGCGTTCCGCCTGAGATTTCCTCACCACTAATGACTCTGAAGTTTAAAAATTGGCAACAGTTTCACAGATGGAGGGCGGGTGGTTTTCAAAATGTGGCTCTCACCTTAGCGCGGCGCACATCGCTTTAAAGCTTCACGGATTGAGAGCGGGTGGTTTTCAAAATTTGGCTTTCGCCTGAGCGCGGCGCACATTTGTTTAAAACATTGCAAGAGCTTCACGGATTGAGGGCGGGTGGTTTTCAAAATGTGGCTCCTCGCTCTAGTGCCGCGCACATTCCTTTTATAAAGTTGCACGAGTTTTGCGGATTGAGGGCGGGTCGTTTTCAAAATATGGTTCTCGCTTTAGCGCGGCGCACATTCGTTTTTGAAAAGCACAAGAGTTTCACGGAGTCCCATCATCAACGTGTCAGAAATCATGTTTTGAAAGGATTCAGGCTTATGCGGGTGCATTAGTTATGTTGATTCACTGTGTTGAAGTCCCAGGAATAGTGTTCTGGCACCATTCTGGATTGTCAAGACGCAACCGTCAGGTTGATCCGTGGCGTTGGAATCCCGAGAACAATGTATTGGCATACTTCAGGGTCATCAAACGGTTGTCTTCCAAAGAGGACATTTCTTCAATGGAAATGAACCGTGGTAGTGGCATACGAAGAGGACGCTTGGAGGGAGGGTTTATTCCAACATCGTTGATGATTATTGGGTTTACACTGGTCCTATTCCTTCTCCTCCTACTCCGCCTACTCCTCCTCATTATCCTCGTCCTCCTCCTCCTCCTCCTTCTCCTCCTCCTCCTCCTCCTCTTGATCATCCTCATCCCTCCCTCCCTCCCTCTCTCCCTCCTCCTCCTCCCCTCCCGGGTTGGGCACCCGTCGATGTCGACTTGCTGGAGGCCTTGCTCCGACCGATCTGCTGGGACTCAATACTTTCCGTAGCCTGGTGTTTAAGCTCCCGCTTGAACAGCTCACTCTCCTCGTCGAGGGCAAAGTCCTCAGAGGAGGCCGACTCCATGGAGATGCCACCACCGCTGCCCTCCATGAGCGGCTTGCGAAGAGCCTGCAGCACCTTCTGCGGCAAACTTGCGGCTGGTGGATGGGCCACCGCGCGCCGCCCCTGCCGCCAGAGCACGAAGTCCTTCGCGAGGTCATTCTGTCCCCGTTGCACCAAACCTCGCCGAACGTCCTCCGTCTGGACCTTCCTGTCGAGGCCGAGGCAACCCTGCGCCTCGTCCAGCACGGACTGGAACTCCTTGAGTTGTTGCATCTCTCCCTGCCCGCCGAGCTTGGCCATGAGCTCTGCCGCCTCCTGGACGGACCGCACGTGGGCCACGCACGAACCATGCCGGACAGGGATGCCACCACCGCGCACCATGCCGGGCCCGGTGGGTGAAGCCGCGCACTTGGAGGGTCGCAGCGCCGTATGAAGACAAGTGCAGTAAGTGAATTGAAAGAGTCTTGAGCCCAGATGGCTACGGCCCTCCTCCTCCTCCTCCTCCTCCTCCTCCTCCTCCTCCTCCTCCTCCTCCTCCTCCTCCCCCCACCCCCGTCCTCACCCTCCTCATCACATCATCCCAGGGAGGGCGGCGGGTGGGGGCACGGGGCGGGTAGGGCGGGCACATGGGCGCGATGTATGCAAGACTGCCGACCATCCGTGGAGCGGCAGAGCTGCATATATTCATCGTTGTGTCCATTCCCTTCCCCCCTCCTGCTCCTCCTCCTCCTCCTCCTCCCCTCCTCCTCCTCCTCCTCCTCCTCCTCCTCCTCCTCCTCCTCCTCCTCCTCATCCTCCTCCTCCTCCGTTTCCTCCTCCTCGTCATCCTCATCTTCATCCTCTTCCTCCTCCTCCGAGTGAGGAGGTGGGCGGGGGACGCGGACGACGTGCCCGCGTGCTCTGGAGTGTTCAGCCTTGCCGAGTCTTCCTCTCGCCCTCTTCAGTCGGGTGGTGGGCAGGTCGATTGGGTTCCTCCTATCGACGGGGACTCCACGCTCGACAATTTTCGTCGGGGATAGATTCACGGACGGGTCATGCAGCAAGAGGGTCATCCCCGAATTCGCTCGTGCGGGTTGGGCCTTCTCGCTCTGGCATCGTGACACAGGTCTCGAGATCGTTAGAGTGAGGGGGCCAATCTGGCCCCCGTGTCCACAGACGGCGCAGGCCGCTGAGTTTCATGCTTACTCGATCGCGCTGCAATGGTCAAGTGGTCCTTGCGAGTTGCTTGTTGGCTGTGAAGCCTGCGTTGATTGTCATGCCCTGCCGTGGGAAGAACAATGCTCTCCTAAGCGTGCGCACGCTGGAGTTGCTCAATGTTGTCGAAAGTTTCCCCAGCGGTGCAAAGTGCACAAAGTCAAGGCCCACCAGTCCATCGAAGGGGTCGAAGATAGCTGGGTTTTCTACTTGCGTGAAGGTAACCATGCTGTCGACGTTTCGACGAAGCAAGCTGCGCTGATCCACCCAAAGCCCGACAGCCCGGAAGCTGGGGATGTAGATTGCAAGCTAGCCAGTGCGAGAGTTTTGATTATCCTGGCCGCGAAGCTCTTACCACTTTGGCCGCGGCCCGATCTGGGGCCGAACGTGCAGTGGGTCTTTGTTGCCGTTCCTGTGGGCAAAGAGCAGGGTCCGACGCACGCTTGGAGCTGGACGGGACGTTTTTGGCAGCGTTCTAGATGCTTACGTGGATCACGTTCCGCCGACAAGCCGCCCGCGAGTTTTGTGCCGTGGTGGCGCGGGCGCCGGGATCTGTGGCATGAATGTTCCTGCGTTTTCTGCTCTAGGGCACAACGTGCTGTTGCTTGACGCCTCGGCCGGCAGTTTTGTTTTTGTGCGCCTCCAGTGCACGTTCTACAGTGGAGGTGGGCAGGATCGAGGCCTCCAACAGCCCTGCCAGCCGATTCTGACTGCTGGAGCTGAAGGGTCGGAAGCACGCCTAGAGGCAGATCGCGAGGGGGCGGCATCCCAAGCGCGGAGACGTCCCGCTCTTTTTCTGGCCCCTGGGCAAATATGGAGAGGTGGATTGGTTTGCAGGAGGGGGGTGCTCACGAGAGGCGCTGGGCCGATTTGGCCCAGCGCCTCCTCTGGGCTGCCACTTCGAGCCTGCCTGAGGATCTCGGGCGTCGCTGGCCAGAGCCAGCACGCACCATCCCTCTCCGCGGAGACAGCGGCACTGATTAGGCATTCAGGAGCCTGCTCCATATCTGTCTGGTCATACGGTGGGGTCGGGGGTCGGGTCCTGTTCTGCGGTTGCCCCGAGTCGGTGCCCGCCCCGTCCTACCTTGTGGTGTCTGGCTGGGCTTCGCCTTCGTTTCTTCTTGTGCGTTGCTGGCCTGTGCCAGCACGCTGCTTCCCTCGCCGCGGTGGCAGCGGCACTGTTCAGACATTCAGGAGACTGCCCCATATTTGTCTGGGTGCATGATGGAGTCGTGGGTCGGGTCCTGTACCGGGGTTGCCCCGAGACAGCACCCGACCGTTCTAGCCTAGAACGGACCCGTTCTTGGCTAGAACGGGGCCGTTTTAATTTAGGACGGGGCCGTTCTGGTCCAGAACGGCCCCTTTCCTGCCCTGGTGGCGCCAGGCAGGGTTTCACCTTTTGTTTCTTCTCGCCCAGCCTGTTTACGCGGGTAGAAGTTTAGAGCCTGCTTGTTGGAGGTCGGTTTGTGTTTTTGTTGTTTGCTTCGGGGGGTCTGCCCTCCCCTGAGGTGACGTGCGGGTTGCATGCTGCGCTGGGGGGGGGGGGGAGAAAAAAAACTCCTCCGCCTCCCCCTCCTCCTCCTCGTCCTCCTCCTCCTCCTCCTCCCCCTCCTCCTCGTCCTTCTCCTCTTGCTCGTCCCTCCTCCGTTGCCTGCTCCTCGCCGTCCTCCTCCTCTTCATCATCATCATCATCATCATCAGCAGCAGCAGCATCATAATCAGCATCATCTTCAACATCATCGCCATCATCGGCACTACCATCACTATCACCATCACCACCGTCAGCCTCATCGTCATCACCCGCAGCATCAGCAATACCATCCTCATCATCCGCATCCCCATCAGCATCAGCATCCTAATCCTCATCACCATCATCATCATCATCATCATCATCATCATCATCATCATCATCATCATCATCATCATCATCAGCATCAGCATCATCATCATCATCGGCATCCTCAGCATCATCATCATCAGTCGCAGCATCATCATCACCATGTTCATCAGCATCATCAGCATCATCATCATCATCATCATCATCATCATCACCATCACCATCATCATCATCGTCATCAGCCGCATCATCAGCATTATCCCCCTCCCCACCCTCCTCCTCACACAACCATCCGCATCAGAATCAGCACCAACATCTTCATCATCATCATCATCATCATCATCATCACCATCACCATCACCATCAGCATCAGCATCATCATCATCATCATCATCATCATCATCATCATCATCATCATCATCATCATCCGCAGCATCATCATCTTCAGCAGCATCGTCAGCAGCATCAGCATCGTCCTCATCCTAATCAACATCACCATTGTCATTGTCATCACCAGCGGCATCATCAGCAGCAACATCCGCACCCCCATTATCATCCAATTAATAAGCATTAGCGTCATCATCATCATCAGCATCATCATCATCAAGAGCATCATCATCAGCAGCATCATCAGCCTCATCATCATCATCATCATCGTCATCAGCAGTCCGTGGCCATTTTGGCTCAAGAGCAGTTGTTCTACACCCGCCTTTGACAAGCCGCTTCGAGCAAAGCAATGCCTTCGCCCACCTTGCGCCAGCTGTCGCACAAGGCGACGCCGCAGGGTGTCGACGCCCAAGGAGGCGTATCTGGCAGCGTATCTGGTGGCGACGCGGGTATGCCCGCTACCAGCAGCGACGACCCGTTCATGATGGGGGAGCAGACGTCGATCACGACCGCGGGCGCAGCCGAGGCTCCGCACCCGAGCGGCACCGAGGCCCCCCCTCGCCCCGCGCACGCCGCGGACGAGGCGGAGGGCACCGCCCCCCTGCCGGACAGCGCGGGGCAGGCGGGGGAGCCGAAGGCCCCGCTCCCGAGCGGCGCCGAGGCCCCGCGCCCGCCCGACGCCGCGGGCGAGGCGGAGGGCGCCGCCCGGCTGCTAGGCGGCGAGGAGCAGGGGGAGTCGAAGGCTCCGGTTCCGGCCGGCCCCGCGGTCTTGGCCTCGGCGTGGGGCAGCCAGGCCAGCAGGGCGACCCTGCGGGCCAGCGGCTCGCTGGCCAGCTCCGCGGAGGAGGACGACGAGGAGTTGGAGAAGCAGCCCTGGTGCTGGGCGTGCAAGCAGCACTGCGGCAAGGGCAAGGGCGGCTGGTGCTACTGGCTGTTCGTCCTCTCGTTCCTGTCCATGCTGTTCCTGTTCCCTCTCTTCCTGAAGTGGATGATAACCGTGCCTATGCCGCTAGAGTACTGGAACCAGCTCTTCCCGGAGTTCCCCGTACTGTCAGACCAGACGTTCGTCCAGGAGCACAAAGTGTCGGGCTACAGCGTGGACATTTCCCCTATTCCAACCACGTGGAGCGGCTGCAACCACACTTGCGGCGCGGCGGGTGGATTCCTTCAGACCAGCGAAATGAATTTCCAAGTCGACATGTCTCTTGAGGCCCCGGGCTACGACCACACCGTGTACCCGGTGCTCTTCGCGTCTAACGACTTCCAGAAGTGGTGGTTGGCTGCCGACAGAAGGCACGCGGAGCCCCAGCCCTACTTCGCGGGCGTTTCCTCAGATGACGTGGGGCACAGGTACGTAACCGAGCAGTGCACTCACCCGCACCACCTGGACGACACTACGACAACCAGCGGCACTGTTTCGGCACCGTCGATGGACACATATGCGACTAGCCCTACCTACGTGCTCGTCTGTGTGGCTTGGGATGTTGAGAAGCTGCGCTTGCACGAGGAGGCGGAGGACGCCGAGAACTACGATCTCAGTAAGGAGGACCTGGCCACGATGTGCAACGCAGTCGGTGGCGTTGCTGGCTGGCCCTGCGGCAAGAACCCGGGCGCTGCTGCCTTGCCGGGCGTGCGTGCTGACGGGGTGATCCAGGTGGACCCCCCCAGCGGCACGGTGGCAGGCGTCCTTGTGAACAATTCCCACTTCGAAGGCGAGGCTTCCATCCACGCCTGCCTCAGCTCCCCGGATCATGCCGAGTGCGTGGCCTCCACGCTCAGAATGTCAGACTGGCCGTGCCAGCAGTGCGTGGACGTCGAAGAGAAGCAGTGCGAACCAGGCCCACAGTGCTTGCAGACCGATCGCAAGCCCATTGTCACGCTCAACATGTACGACGGCTATCCACAGCTCGAGATTCAACTGAAAGGGATGCCCACCGATGAGGTGAGGCGCGGGTCGGTGCCGAGGGCCTTTGTGATGACGTCCCCGCTGCACTATGCGGGCCAGGAGGCATGGGGCCCCTGGGGCCTGACGGACGGGGGCACCTGGAGGAAGCTCTACGAGCCGCACAAGTACTATGTCGACAACAGCAACAACGAGCTGGAGCGAGCCCCGCCGCGCCCTTACGTCGCCTACCTGGCCGAGCTGGAGGGCGACTCCGACGAGGCCGAGTACACCGGGGGGGGCGAGTCCGAGGCCAGGCGCCTCGCGGCGTCCGCGGGCGAGGCGATGGGCGAGCTCGCGGGGTCGCTGGCCCAGTTCGCCCGGAGGCTCAGCCGGCGGGGTGACGAGGACGAGGAGGAGGAGGAGGAGGAGGCCATGAGCGACCAGCCGGAGGACACGACGCCCTACGTCCCCGAGGAGGACAGCGCGCGCAACAAGATGGAGTTCTACCAGCGCAACCGCGTCTCGCTCCAGCCCAGCTGGTGCTTCGGGGAGCGAGGGCCCCTCTACCTCGTGGCGTGCGCCGCGAACGAGAGCACCTTCGCGGGCGGCTTTTCGCTCGGCGAGGGCCAGGCCATCGCGCCCCCGCCGTTCAACGACCGCTGCCTGGCCGTCTCGGGCCGTTGCGCCTACGCCTGCATGGAGCAGCAGTCGCCCAGCATCGAGTACTGCGACGCGAGCGGGAGAATCGATTGGAGCATGCTCACTGAGAACTTCGAGCCTCCATCTAACAGCGGCGTAGAGGTAAACATCTTCATTTGGATGCTCCTCTTCGGCTTTGCTGTCAAGGTGGTGACCTTTTTCCCTGGCCTGTTCGTGCCTTACAAGGCGGCGAGGTATTACGAGCAGCAGCAGACGGATCAGTTCAAGTACATATCGGTGGTCTGTCCGACCAGCAGCGAGACGAAGGCATGCGTTTTGCGCAACCTCGTCGGTGCCATATCCAGCATGCCCAGCAGCTGTCGCTGCCCCTTTAACGTGGTGGTCATGGACGAGGGGCACCGCCATCCGCAGAAGGTGATGTTCCGGGCGTTTGCCGAGGTGTTGGACAAGATTCCAGACGCGAAGTTTGGAAGTGGCAAGGGATCTCGTTCTCCGAGGGCCTCGAAGGAGAGCCTCAAGGAGAAGAACGTGAGGGCCTTCGCGAAGGAGTGGGTGGAGCTGACCAGGAGCTGCAAGTTGGAGGACTGCAACACCGACAACATTGCCAAGAAGATCAAAGAGTTGTCGCTGTCGGACGACAGCAGTGATGAGATCAAGAAGCTTAACGGTAAGCTGGACAACCTCTGCGGCAAGAAGGCGTTGCAGGTTTTGCAAGAACGCAGCGGCTGGCCGAAGGCCAAGGACGGCAGCGGGGCCGCGAACCCCGAGATCGAGCAGCTGGAGGCCGCAATCGTGCAGCTGCGCAGGGAGTTGGTCGTGGGTGAGAGGACCTTTGACACCTGCTACGAGAATGCGAAGCCGGTGCACCTGGACGACTGCGAGGCCCGCGCCTGGGTGCCGAAGTCGACGGCGGAGAGCCGGAGGCCCCGGCCTCTGTACATCCTGCATTACGTCGCGCGAGCGAAGCCAGACGAGGACGAGCGGACACTTAAGACACAGCACGTCGCCCGCGGCTGCTGGTACTACAAGGTGCCCATGGACGACGAGAAGAGGGGCAAGAAGAGCTGGCTCGACTGGCGTAGGTATGCCAAGGAGTACGAGGACGGGGACTTCGACGCCAACAGGTACATCGTGCCCGTCAGCACGAGCCGCGGCAAGGCGGGCGGCCTCAACTTTGTGGAGAACTACCTCTTCCACTACTACCTGCAGGTCGAGGAGCGGGACCCCGTCCTGGACGAGGCCACGGGCGAAGTCACGATGCAGATCAAGCCGTCTTTGTTCAGCATCGCCGACGCGCGCCACCAGTACCAGCCGAACTTCTTCCACGAGACGCTGCCCTTCTTCTTTCTCAAGGGGCAGGCGCAGGTCAACCCATGGGTGGCCTTCACCCAGAGCCCACCGTTCTTCCCGGAGCAGGAGGACGAGCAGGACTACCTGGATTCGAACAACTCGAACTTCTTCCGCCTGCACTGCATGCTGCGGAATTGCTGTGGCGGGGTGAGCTCCAAGGGGACAAACGGCACCTGGCTCATCAAGGACCGCCGCATGGGCATCAAGGGTACCAGCAGCATTTGGGACATGAGCTCCAAGAAGAAAACACGCGGGAATTTCCACGAGTTGGTGGAGCACCGGTTCTTCCGTGAGAGCTGCAAGGTTGAGGATTTGGCCACGAGTTTGGACGTGATGGTCCAGGGCAAGCATTCGCAGTACATCAACAGGCGCCTTTCTTACGGGATGGCGAAGGACCCAATCCATTATTTGGCAGGGGTGCAGCGCCAGACTGAGGGCGGAGTCGTTCTGGCGCTGCAGACGTTCTTCCGGAAGAAGGAGGGGACTCCCATGGTTTGGATGGCTTTCTGCGTCTTCACGCTGTTTGTCGCCTCTCTGGCCAACCTCATGTATGGCCAGGGCACGCGCGGCTTCCTTCGGATGCTCGGAGGTGGGAGCGGGCTCGAAGGTGCCCTCGACCTCGCGAGGGGCCAGGCCGACTGGCTGATCCAGCAAGGTCTGGCTGCGTCCACTGAGCAGGAGGCGTGGGCGACCGTCATATTGGACACGCAGATCTGGGTGGCACTAGTGCTGGGCTTCTTGCTGCTGCTGGTACTGTCCAGCAGCCTCTCCTACGTGCTGCACCACTGCACCTGCGGAGGCAAACGACGCAAGGTCCGCCGCACGCGCTTCCCCACCAGCATGGCGCAGTGGGCGCGGTTATTGATCCTGCTGGACAGCCTGACGTACTATTTGTGGTTCTGGACGGCCTTCTTCTGGATCGGATTAAACTACTACACGGTCTTCCAGCAAAGAACCTACCACTTCGAGGCAAAGCCCATGACGTTTTTCTCTTGGGCCCTGCAGTTTCTGAGTTGGGCGATGGTCATCTTTGCGACAGCGCGCTATCGGATGGACCAGAGCATGCAGGCCAACGAGGTTTTCTTTTTGAGCCTTACGAACCTGTGGCGCACCACGCAGCTATTCTACATCACCGCCCCGCTGACGCTGTTCTCCATTGCCACTGGCTGCGGCGAGTTCTCCCGTCACAGGATGTTGGGCGTTGATATCAGTTACTGGTCGGCAGGCGATCGCGGTTCAATCTCGACCACCATCACGAAGTGGTGGACTTTGTTATTGATGTTTGGTGCCATTGCGGTGAATCTCATTTATTGGTTCGACTTGCTGTCTTTTGTAGACCCTATATCCGTGCTTATCGTGAGCGTCATTGGTCTCGATGTGGTGCACATCTGCGCATTCTTGTGGCTGGGCAACAAGAACGAGGCTCTGCCGAAACCACCGCCCTCCTCGTTGCCCAATTGGCAGTGGTGCATTGCTCGCTTCTTCCAGCTGCTCTTCAGCATGAACTTCTACCGCAACTCGCTGCGAGGCTTAGTGTTCAGCTCGAATTTCGTGCTTCTGCTGCAGTGGGTTGGCCCCCTGCAGCATGTTGTGTTTCCCCTACTCATCCCCTTCAAGCCTGAGCTGGGCGTCAACCAGGCTCTCCTGCTCCTCATTGCAGGCAAGTGAGGAGGACTGCGCGAGACCATCGTGATCGTAGACTGTGGCCTTCGCGTTGCAACTGCCAGCGCGAAATCCGATCGGATGGATGATCTGCAGTGCGTGCACATTAATCCGCCGTATTCTCCTGCTTGAGATCCAAAGTGAGTTCATTGTGCAGATGATTTTGTTACCCGTGCGCGATGAGGCCAGCTCTTGTGACTACCAGAAAGTGTAGCGCCAGTTTTCATGCCGCCAATTCGGCAACACAAGGTTGTCGATGTCGTTGCCCCCACTGCCCAGGACGGGTCCTGCGCGATAACCATTATCATCAGCAGCATCGTCATCAGCATTCGTTTCCTTGTCTTCCTCAGCATCACCATCATCGTCATGATCAGCATCACCATCATCAGCAGCATCAACATCATCAGCCATAACATCATCATCATCATCATCATCAGCAGCAGCAGCAGCAGCATCATCATCATCAACAGCATCATCCGCAGCATCAGCAGCATCAGCAGCATCAGAACCACAATCATCGTCGTCATCAGCATCAGCATCAGCATCGCCATCATCTTCGTCGTCATCACCAAATCAGCATTATCGTCGTCATCGCCATCGTCATCAGTATCATCCTCATCCTCCGTCTCCTCCTCATTCTCCTCATCCTCCTGCTCCTCTTCGTGTTCGTCGTCGCCGCCGCCGTCGTCGTCGTCATCGTCGTCGTCAGCGCCAGCACCAGCATCAGCATCAGCATCAGCATCGCCTCCATCCCTCCTCCATTCCTCCCTCCCCCTCTTCTGCACGTGGGGAGCCGCTCGGCCCCTCCGCCGAAGACCGCCTGATTGGCGTTCGTTCCTCCTCCTCCTCCTCCTCCTCCTCTCCTCCTCCTCCTCCTCCTCCTCCTCCTCCTCCTCCTCCCCCCTTCTCCTCCTCCTCCCTCCTCATCATCATCCTCCTTCTCCGCCTCCTCTTTTCCCCGTCCTCATCCCGTCCTCCTCTTCCTCCCTTCTTCCTCCTCCTCCCTCCTCCTCCCCCCTCCTCCTCATCCTCGACCTCTTCCTCCCCCTCCTCCGCCTCCTCCTCCTCTTCCTCTCTTCCTCCTCTCTCCTCCTCCTCCCCCTCATCTTTCTCCTCCTCTCTCCTCCTCCTCCCTTCTCCCCCTCCTTCTCCTCCTCCCCATCTCCCTCCTCAGCCCCGCGAGGAGTGGTTTCAGACATGGAGGGTACAGCACAGGGGCTTCGCCTTCCGCTTCAACCTGCTGGACTCCGCTGGCAAGAAAGCTCACGCATCGCTGCGTCATGACCGCCACCTGCCCGATCCTGCCCGCCGACGCCCCCCCCTATCCCCCCAAAAAACAGATTCTCTTCCCGCTCATCTGCCGCCTGACTCTTCGCTCCCCCCTCTCCCCATGCATCCCTCTCACCCCTCCCCTGCTCGACGGAGGAATGGGCGGGAGGGCAGCCCGCGTGGGCCCGGACCACTGGCGATCCTCCGCGTTATCCGCCGGACGGTCGTCCTCATCCGTCTCCTACTTCACCTCCTCATCCTTCTCCTGTTCCTCCGCGTGCCTTTTCCTATGACCTGTCGTCTCCTCGTGTCCAGTCTGTTCCTCGTCATCTTCATCCTGCTCCCCCTTCCGCCTCTTCTCCCTCCTCATCCTCTGTTCGCTCATTCCCTCACAATCCTTCCCATCATCACCCCACTTGAGATCATGATCGTTATCCCCGTCGCCCTCCCCGTCCTCCTTCCTCACCCACTCCCCCTCGTCGCCTCGTTCTCCTCTCCTCATCCTCCTCCTTCTCCGCCCCGCCCGCCCCCTCATTTCCCAGCCCCCTCGTTGCTCCGTTGCCCCTCCTCCCCCCCGCCCTCCCCCCTCCTCCCCTCCCTCCCCCCTCCTGCCGCCTCCTGTGCCAGACACCCGACGGGATGATCTCCTTACATCCGCTGCCCCACGCCTCCCGGCCGCTTCCCGTGGGGCAGCTCTTCACCCCAGAGGCCGCACAAAGCCCAGCAACAAAACAAAACAAGCTACGCCGGACGTCTGCGACCCTGAGCCAGTCCTGGAGCGCGCGCTGACCAGGACCTCGCGGGCGGATCCGGCCGTGCCGACGAGGAGCCTCCCCGCGGCCCAGACGGAGTGAAGAAGGCCCAAAGCCCCGAACCCAGAACGCCAACGTACAGTGAGCGGCTTGAACTTTTCAAAAGGGGCTCCGTCGTTCCTTAGGCTTGCATGCGTTATTCATCGTCCCGTAGAGGGTTATTGATTAGTTATCGCCCCTTATGCGTTCCTCCCTGGAGAAAAAAGAGGCTTCATTCCTTAATTATCGTTCCTTAGGTCAGGCCGATGACGGTACTTTGTTTCACAACGTGGGCCTCCAGAGGTCGCGACCCCTTCCCAGGAACCGGCTTCTCGTCCCGAGCCGCTTCTTGATGGGAACCCCGAGACCAGCCTCAAATTTCCCGCGAAGGTTTTGTTTACGACGCGACGGGGCCTGGGATCCTCGAGCCTTGACCCCCAGACATCCGACGATGTGTTTTTGTTGTCCTCAAGCTTCGCGCGGCCCGCTTAGCTTCGACAGGAAGAGGTGCGCTCTCGACCCGCGAATCATAATAAAAGTGTTTTTGTTGTCCAATGCGCGGCCCCAGAGGTCCCGACTCCTTCCATGGGGCTCGAGGTTCGCCCGGATGCATCCTTGAAGCCCCCAGGGCCCGAAAGCGGCCCCGAGGGCCGAAGTCCAAGAGAAAGTACCAGTTGCAAAAATCATGACGTCGACCTGGCGGCCCAGGGCCTTGAGAAAATCGGGGGAAGAGGAGGGTGGGTAAGGGGGCTATGATGAGGAGAAGGAGGAAGAGGGGAGGAGGACAAGGAGGGAGATGAGGAGGGGTACGAAGGCGAGGCATCCTGCGTATCCTCCTCCGCCTCCTCCCTCCTCCTCCTCATCATCCTCCTCCTCCTCCTCCTCCTCCTCCTCCTCCTCCTCCTCCTCCTCCTCTTCCTCCTCCTCATTCCCCTCCTCCTCCTCCTCCTCGTCCTCTCCTGCCTCCTCCTCCTCCTCTCCTCCTCCTCCTCCCTCCTCCTACCTCGTTCCTGCTCTTCCTTCCTCCTTCCCCCTCTTCCTCCTCCTCCTCTCATACTCCTCTTCCTCCTCTTCTCCTCCTCCTTCCTCCTCCTCATCACCATCATCACCATCATCAGCATCATCATCATCCATCATCATCATCATCATCATCATCATCATCATCATCATCATCTCGTCATCCTCATCATCATCCTCATCCTCCTCCTCAGCTTTATCCTGCTCCCCCTGCCTCCTTCATCCTCTCTCTCCTCATCCTCCATCTCCCCTCCTCCTCCTCCTCATCCTCTCCCTCCTTCCTCCTCATCCTCTCCTCCTCCTCCTCCTCCTCCTCCTCCTTTTCCTCCTCCTCCTCCTCCTCCTCCTCCTCCTCCTCCTCCTCCAGCCGTTCTGGCGCAGGTGAGCGCTTGCGGGTCCTCTCTTCAGAACGGCAAGGGATCCGCGGGTCAAAATTTTGGCTTCTATCTTTTCACTTCCATCATTCCAGTCAGACTGATGTCCCATGGCCCTTACAAGGGCGGCGGCGGCGGCGGAGGAGGCTCTCCCCCTTGGCGCGGCGGCGGCTCAAAGGGCTGGCAGCGGCAGGACTGGAACAACTACGACTACGGAGGCGCCCAGTGGCTGGCTGGCAAAGGATACGGCGCGTCCGGCAGGAGCGACTGCTGGAAATGCGTTGCATGCGGGTGCGGCAAGACCACTGTCTGGGCGTCGCACTGCAAGCACTGCGGTGCGCCGAGGCAAGCCCCTTCGACCAGCCAGCCTGCTCCTCCTCGCGGCGTTTGGTCTCATCAGCAGGGTTTTCCTCGTGCTCCTGGGCATCACCCCCCAGGAGGGTGGGCTGCCCTCCCGCCTGGACCTCAGCTTGGAGGAGCGGCGCAGGGCACGGGCAGCAGTGGCCGTGGACAGGACGCCCCGCTGGACGCAAAGGAGCTCCAGATGCTGGTCGCCCTGGCGCGCCGCGCAGGTGACCAGACGACCGCGGCCAGGCACCAAGGCCAGCTGGACTCCATGGCGGCAGCCGCGAAGCCCCCGCCCAAGGCCCTGCAGGACCAAGTCAGCGACCTGCACCACCGCATCAAGAAGCTCGACGGCAGGCTGGAGTCCGAGCTGGCGAAACTTGCGAGGTGGCAGGACGGCATCAGGGCGCAAGAGGTGCTCATTCACTACTTTCCGAAGCAGTCCGAGGCCATGGTCACAGAACATCGGCAATTGGTTGCACAGCTTCACAGTGCAGTTGTTCCTCCCTCGGCCGACGCAGAGGTCGCGTCTGGGCCCACTTTGTCACTCCGCGACCTCGTGGACGGGAGGGTCTCCAACATCGTCATCGACGACGGGGGCCTCTTCTCGGTCGACGCTGAGGGCATGGAGGCTTCGGATCTTCAAGAGGTGGAGCGACGTCGGGCCGACTTCAAGGAGCACATCGGCAAGGCAGCCAAGGCCCTATTCGCCGAAGCAATGGAGCGTGCGGCAGTCGCCAAGGCCGAGCACGACGGTTACCTCAAGCGCATGGCCACAAAGCGCAGGAAGGGCTGCGACGGAGCCGTGTCGGCTGGGGGCGGAGTTCGTGAAGGAGGCGCTGAAGAAGCTGGGTCGCATCCTGGCGGTGCCTCTGGCAGCGGCGACGCCGCGGCTAGCGACGTCAGCCAGCCAGCCGCCTCAGTCAGCCGAGTTCGAGAACATGCAGCACGAGTTGCGGAGCGTGTTCAACAGCAGCAGGCGACTTCTGAGGGCAGCGGCTCAAGCGAGCGGCCCAGTGAGCAGCGACATCTTAGCCCCCCTGACGGTCAGCAGGCCTGAAGGGGGGGACTCTACTTTTCTATGCCTGCAACACCTGACAGGTGTTCCAGTTCAGTGTTTTCGGAGGGAGGTCGACAGCGCGCGCGGGCTGTCAGGACCCCTCCTCCTCGTGCCCAACTTATTCCTGCTTTGCCTCGAAATACTAGTCCCAACGCGCGAGCTAGGGATGCTGCCTCCTCGGAGCCAGGGCACTCTGGCACCGTTTTTGGAGGTCCCTTTTTGCCCCCGCCACCCCCGGGCCACCAGTCGTTCCGTCTGAGGGTCGTGTCGGTGAACGGTAACGCCTGGGGGTCGGTGAAGGAGTGGCTCCCTAGTATCGATGCTGAAGTTATTCTAGTCCAAGAACACAAGCTTTTGACGCAGGAGGCTTTGGATAGAGCTTCCTCTGTTTGTCTTGGCCTCGGTTTCAAATCGCTTTGGATCCCTGGCACGACTGGGCCCGAAGGCGGCCCTTCTGC